GCTAGGTTTATCGAGATGGAGCCAGATCGAAGAAAGGAGGTCTTCGGTGAGCTAATAGGTGACAGGATGATGGGGCGAATCAACCATATTCTCGACAAAGACTGGCAATGTGACTGGGCCCTTAACTTTGACGTCGATGCGGAACTATGAGTTCACCTCTGTATATAAGCTGGCCCTAAGATAAGCCGGTCTGCTAAGGCAGAGAACAAGCCCCAACCTTTGTGGATCATTTGTGGAAGGAACCTAGAGTCAACATACTAGACATCGGCTTGAGAGGAGATTTATCATGTCTGATATTATTCGTTTTCATCACCCCGGAATCGGCGTGACTCATGACGATTGCTAGATTTAGAAATACATCCATAGTAGTACGCTGGAGAAGACAAGGTCGTTTCACGCTTTATAACAACGAATGCGCCGACAAAACCAGCTCAAAGAGAGACAGCATTAGCTGTGTCATATTTTAGACCTTGATGGTGAGAGATTTGAAATTACAAAGTTTTCGAGGTGTTGTTGGATGGAGCTCATGGTTTTTGCACGGTATATAATACACGGCCTCCGACTTGGGCGTTCTCAGCTCGAGATCGAGAGGGGAGAAAGACATAATGAAAGGGGAGTCGTTCCTTTATTCGTTGATCTTGGCGAGAATCCTATCGCAGAGGTCAGTACAATGTCATTGAGGAGCGGACTTGGCTATGCTGCAAGGGAACGTACTCAGAATCCCGGAAGAGGTGGTACTCCTCTTCACCGACCTTGACGGGGCTACCACCGAACTGTATCACAAGATCTGTCAGCCACTTCATCGACAGAAAAATCCAATGTCTGTTGCGCATCGGATCCGCGCGGAGATAAAGCATCCAAACCGGCCAGTACGTACCTGAGGAATGAGAACCTTGTCACCAGCGGTAACGCTCATGGGGATTCTCTGGCCATTACGGTCAACGGCACCGGGGCCGACGGCAAGGACCTTGGCCTCGTTCTGCTCCTTGACGCTGCTCTCGGGGAGGAAGATACCGGAGGCAGTCTTGGGCTCGGGCTTGATGCGCTGGACGAGGACACGGTCCAGGAGGGGAGCGAGGTTCTTGATGTTGCGGAGGACAGACTGATCGAGGGAAGAGATCACAGTTAGCGACATGTACCAATCAATGAGTCAGACAAACAAGATCAACACATAGTTGATAGCAGCAACTGACATGACGGAGGTAGTCCTGAGGTCCCGGGCTAGGTGGAAATACGTACCATTTTGTATGACGGTGTGATGAGAAGAGTGCGAGACTCGTAGACAGAGTTTAATTGAGCAGGGATGAAGAAATGTAACAAGTGCGAGGCGTGGACAGTACGAAAGAAAAGAAGATGTTCGGGCAGCTCGTCTGGGGGAAGAAGATCTGGACTCTCCGGGCCGCGAGAAATTTCCAGAATGCCAAGACCGGAGAGCTTCCATCAACACTGCCGAGGGTATCAAGTTGAATGCTTTTGCTTTTTCATCTTTTGCACGATATTCAATGAATTGGACTTATTTCTCTGTTTTGAGAAAGTGGGTTCATTGATCTAGTCTGGATTTGCATTGTTGAGTTTACAATGGATGTCTCAATGCAAGTCTGCACCTCAGTCGCCTGCGACATCTCCTTTTCCCCGAATTTCTAGCTGCGGATAGCTTAAGCTCATGGTCTTAAAGATCATGCGCATTGGTATGGTTATCACTGACTGTATACAAGTGAACGCCGCCAGATCCGGCCCATTATTCCGAGTACTACTGACCCAGCAAATCGAACATTACAACATGGTAATAGAAGACATAGATCCTTAGCTCTACCATCTTCTTCCTCGTCCCCGGCCGCCAAAACCACCCCTCTGATCGTAACCTCCAAATCCCATATGAGGCTGGCCACCACCTTGTCCTCCAAATCCCGATCCTTGCGACTGGCCGCCGAACCCAGGCTGGCCTTGCTGCTGCCCAGCGCCAGCACCACCCTGGCCTCCCATCATCGCCTGTGCATGTTGCATGAAGGACATTGGATCCATAGATGACGGATCCATGCCTTGCGACATCATACTTGCCAGCATGCCCTGCATCATATCAGGGGACATATCTGGAATTCCTGGCATACCGGGCATAGCTGGCGGCGCGCTGCCAGGAGGCGCAGCAGGACCCGGAGCTCCTGGCATTGGCGGAAGACCCATGGTCAAGAAATTCTGCATATCATCCAATTGCTTCTTCTGGTCTTGGACTTCTTTCCGTAGCTCTTGTTGTTTCAGAACGTAGCTTGCCCAGGTGAATTCGTCAAATCCGTAGTTGAAATAGTCGGAGATATCCGAACCAGGCCGTCTCCATGGTTTATCGTCCTCGGTTGGAAAGTCCGAGTCCATATCTGTGGACAGGATAGGCTTGCCCGTAGAGGGGTGAACAGGGTTCGCATTAACATCGATCGTCGACGCGTGCACGGGCGGGTATGCGGAGCCAGGCTTCTGAGGTGCGGTTTGTCTTGCGCTGGCAGGCGCCGGAGTGGCAGCTTCGAGTTTAGGCGTTACTGTAGGTGTGACTGATTTTGTCGATATATCTGCTGATGAAGGTCTTTGGGGCTCTGCTCGTAGGTTGGCATGACGAGGATGTGGTCTGTCTCGACGTTAGGTCAAATGCTCTTCAGCTGAGTTAGTGGAGGAATCCACAGCTTACACTTCCGGAGGCGGCGCATCTGGAGGAGCCTCAGTGATGATATTGAAGTCATCCTGAGAACAAAATTAGTCGATGCGAGAGATTGAACCGCGTGTTATGAGCAAACCTCGTCCTCTTCCACCTCTATTTCCTCCTCCTCCTGCTCCTCCCCTTCATTCGATCCTTGAGACTTTTCGTTCGATTGGTTTTGGGGAGCATCCTGAGCTTGGTTTACGGGTACTGCATCGGCAGGGTCGTAGAAATCGTCATCGTCATCTTCCATCATCATCTTGAACAGAAAGAGACAAAGTCGTGATTGAGAGAAGGGTAGAATGACGAAAGTCTCAGCCAGTTTACTGCGGAGATGGAATGGCAGGCCGGGTTTGGCATGTTTGCTCTTCAGCTTCTAGATGAGTTCTATATGACACCAACTACCTCTCTACTCAGTCATTGATACTTCAAGGTGCATTCTGATAATGACAATTCAATCATATATGTTTTCGACGACATTGGATTCTCACATCTTTGATTGAAATTCGAGATACCGTGGTCACGTGCCCATGTGTCTCCGCCAGTTGCTTCATAGTCACTCTCTCTACAACATCGGGATAGATGAGTTCTTGAATCTTTGAAACGACCCTGAGTGACACAGTCACCGATAATACATACATCATGCCTCCTTCCGAACAACAGAGCAGCAACTCAACGCCGCGCTTTACGAGCCAGACTACCTCCGCAGAAGATCTTCTCAAGTCGCAGACCGTCGGTCTAGTCCATCTTTCCGACTTTCGCAAGCGTCGCGCAGAGGTTCTAGAGCAAAAGGAACGAGAGGCACACGACAAGTCGCTGGGAAGATTTACATCCGGTAACTCAAGAAGTGCTACTCCTTCAACAGGCGATGTCACTGACAGGTGAGTTAAGGCGCAAGCTTCTTCTTTTCTCTTCCCTAACTGATCGCAATTACCTAGTAACTCGACCCCGCGTAGCGAGGGCCCTCCGAAGAAGAAGAAAAAGAAGCAACTCATGAAAAGCAAACTTTCTTTTGGTGACGATGAAGATAATGATACCGGTGACGAACCTGTGGCCACTCCCCGCGAAACGAGCGTCCCCCGATCTGCGTCGAGGACACCTGCGGACGACAGTTCTGCGCCGTCATCACGGCGCATCACACCCAACCCCAATGCACCACCTCCTCCGAAAGCGCTTACGAAGGCTGCACTGAAGGCAGAAGCAGAGGCGCGTGATGCCCTTCGCAGAGAATTTCTCGCTATGCAGGAGGCGGTCAAAAATACCGAGATACTCATTCCGTTCATCTTCTACGATGGCACCAATATACCTGCGGGGGCGGTCAAGATTAGGAAAGGCGACCCGGTATGGTTGTTTCTTGACCGTTGTCGCAAAGTCGGTGCCGAGTTAGGCGTCGCCGGTGCTAGCGGAGCAGCAAAGGGAAGGAAAGACAATCGCCGGGAATGGGCCAGAATTAGTGTCGATGACCTTATGCTGGTCAGAGGAGAAATAATCGTTCCACATGTAAGTCGCACCCGCCTTTTGCTCGTTGTCATGTGCTGATTGACACTCTAGCACTACGAATTCTACTATTTTATAGCCAATCAAGTACCCAGCTTCTCAAGTGCGGGTGGGCTATTGTTCGACTACTCCAACAAGCCTCCTCCAGCAGCTTCTAGTGATAATTCACTGTCACGGCCTGATAATGACCACTTAGAAGGTGCGGACAAAGATGCGACGTTGACGAAAGTGGTCGACAGACGGTGGTATGAACGAAACAAGCACATCTTTCCAGCGAGCTTGTGGCGGGAGTACGAGCCGGGGCCCGAGTTTGAAGAGAAAATGCGCACCACGCGGCGAGACGCTGAAGGAAACACCTTTTTCTTCTGAGCTGGCGGTTCTTGACTGTATAGAAGAATGAGAGCCGTTGTGAGCTGAGAGAGCTATGAAACAGTGAGAGGAAAACATATGTATATTCTTTAGATACCCAAACAGCCAACCTGGTTTATTATATCACTAAAGCACATTCGTTTAAGTGAATATTGATAGGTATTGCTGCGAGTATCTTTGTCGTCGACAATCTGCTGCAATCTGCAGATGGTACTGGTAATCTGAACTTGTGACCTACGCGTATTCAAGCCTTTGAATCCTTTCATCCACCAACTACAAGCTTCGACACTTCGACTATTATTGAACACAACCGATACTTCAGTCATGGACTTCTATCTTCGATGCAATGCTTTAAAATGTCGCTCCCAGTTGAAGGAGCAAGCAGTCGTCACCACCTGTTCGTAAGTCGTCCGTTCTGCTATCCTTCAATTGGTTTTGATTAGTGAAGACAATGGATATTAAACTGCTTAGGCACATATTTTGTCTTCCCTGCGCAGATACTCTCGGTCTCTCACGTCCCACCCATGGCGAACGTCGCTGTCCAGCTTGCCAAACCGTCCTCGTGAATCCGGACGACGCCGCGTCAACCGTTCTCAATCCCTCTGAAGACTATAAAACCAGCGTACTGAGTGGGCTAGATCCGAACACAATCATGGAATGCGCCAGCCGAGCATTAGTATTCTGGGCTTATCAGGCCACGCAGGAGATGTGCGTATTGCTCAGCTTTCCCATCGACTTCTGCCTCAATTTCCTCACAGGGGACAGATTCTACCAAGAGTATCTCGGAAAGTCACTTACGGAGAAATACTCAACGCTGAGTACACACATGGACAGGGTGATTCATAGTGCAAATACGGAGATATCAGCTCTTCAAGCTAAATTGAACGGTTCGTCATCATCAGCAGACCCTCGAGGGAGGACAGGACCTGTTGACTCGAAAATAGACATGCAAGCAACAGAAGAGCAGCTTCGCAAGAAGAACCAGGAGCTTGTCAATCTCTACCGAGAGAAGTGCAAGAAGTTCGCTCAGATCACCAATCTGTACAACCTTCTCAAGTCTCGTGCTATGAGGTCGCAAATGAAGACCGCTGCGTCGGACACTGTCTCGCAAACTTTGAATTCACTCGGCAACTCTGGAAACGCGCCCTCGGTATCAGGTTTGAGCAGACCAATGGGAGTATCGCAGCCGCCACAGACTCCGGCGTCTCATCAAGGCAATCCGCATCCTGTCAACCTGGAAGGGGTGGAACAGCTACATCGGCATCAGCGGAGCGGAACTGGGAGCTCGAAAGGCACGAAGCAAAAGGTTGACGCCGCGGTGATGCCACCACCCACTGTGCCAGTGAACTTGAGAAACCGTATGCTCCTCTTCATCTATTTCCAGTGATCAAGATATTCTGATAGGTTCAAAGGAAGTATCCCCAATGCAACTCCACAACAACGAACTCGCCTCCCAGGCCCTGTACGTCCGTCGACTGGCGTGTCAAGCTTACCGCAGGACAGTGTCATGTTCGAGCGATTTCATGACAACAATATCCCGGGTCAGTACTTAAACAGTGGCAACACCTCGCTGAATCGAGATAGTCTGGGTTTCCAGAGGCATGGTCCTGGTACGGCAAATGGACCGGGAAACGGCTCTTCTGTTTCGAGGTCTTCGTTTTTTCAGAACACCATTATATGACCTGCTTTCATAACTCGCGTTCGCCCATCCGCATATCAATCGGTGTATTTCTTCCTTTGACGGGTATTGGCTCCTTCCGGCGCGGTGATCATATATATAGCGAGCCAGAGGTATAAACTTGTCAGGTGCTGATGCTGCTCTTGGCAGATAGATATCGACTAAGGGTGCAAGAAATCCGAGTATATAGATATTCCTCGCGCATCAATTTTACCCTTTTTCACCACTGGTCCCGATTCAGAGTGAACTCAGGAATATCCGGGCTTTGTTGTGTATATTTCACGCCAAGAACGGTAACTGGTTATATATCTCCAGCTTTCCACGTACAACCCTAATTTTCAGGGCATGTTTAAGACAGGCATCAAAACAATCGATGCCTCATAAGAATCAAGCATTTAGCTTATGATCTCAGCTCAAGCCACTGGGACGGTTCTGTTAATGTTAGCTAAAGCTTTTGTCAGCGAATCCACGCTAGGACGTTCATGGGTTTTGTCTTCCTTTCGCCCGACGAACTTGGCTACGGATAGTTCCCGCTCTGCAATCACCACCATTTCGATCCAACGCTTGATTGTAAGTCTTGTAGATTCGTTCTGGGATTCCTCGTGGCTTCATCGACGCAGCCCAGTAGATCAAATCAATCCTTCTATTGCATGAAGCCCTGAGCATCATTAGCCTACGATGATGGTCTATGCCAACCTGACTTTTGACAGTAAACAAGCTTACAAGCCTATGTACCCTGAACTTCCACACCATGGATATACCAGAGCCAAACACCACAGAACCTCAATTGCAAAACAGTAAACCATGAGATCTCATCATTCTTGGATCTCATCCCATCACGCTAGATCTTCACTGCAAAGGCCCGTCCCGTAGCCACTCCGACGAGGCCGACCCATCCACCTCGGGCGTGCGGAAGCGGGAAGCTGAGCTCGTCCAGATGGAAAAGGATTTCCCAATTACCACAACCCCCCCAATCTAAATGCAGGGCAGGGAAGCTCCTGTGGAGAATGACTTTAATTTAGTTCCCAGATCTGATGCGTCTGTTTAAGCTTATATTGTCCCCCTGTCTTGTGTTTGAACTTGTAAGGTGTAACTGTTGGTACTGTTACGGTTTGTATGTATGGTGATGGTATCACGTGATTGTTTTCTATTCCTTTCACTTTGGCCCATTGTGTTCATACGTCTGCAGGTCATGATTGCCCAATTTTAGTTGCCACTACTTATCTTCTTGGATCAAGGTAATCACTTTTACAGCAAATGTATCATTGACGATCGTTATCATTGGATTAATTTGACTATCACTGCGCAGACCCATGCCTCGCAATCAACCAAGAATATAGTCTAAGAGAAACAGCTGACTCCAGCACAAATGGATATCCCCTTCTCTTCTTCAACCTGTCAGTGCAGTGTCATGTGTCGTACTGCTTGTATGTCCAGTCCTCGCTAGATAAGTAAGGAAAAAAGTTCCGTATCATGCCATGCGTTCAGAACACAAAAAGGAAAACAAAATGTAAGTAAGAAGTCGGAGAATTTAAATGAATCAAAGCAAAGCAAATTTCTTTCCCATTTTTTAAGCAGAACCGAACTCCTTGATATCGGTCTTCTTGCCCAGCAGAGCAAGAGGGACAATACCACTGACGTGCATGTCAGGACCGTACACGTGCATCTTAAGACCCAGCTCCTCACCAACAGCCTTGATGTTCTTGAGACCCTCCTGGTAGTTGGGACCAGCACGACGAACCCAGATTTGGACGTTGTGCTCGTTGAGAACAGGAGCGACCTCGCGGATCGCACGGATGACACCCTTGAACGTCGAGGCCACGTTGGTGAAGTTGGCGATACCACCACCGATAAAGAGAACCTTGCCGTCAGGGTGCATAGGTGCGCGCAGCATCAGGTCCAGAACGGTCTTGGCGTAGTTGTAGGTCTGAGTCTCGGTGGGAGCACCGGAATACTCACCGTAGTTGGCGAGCTCGCTGACGAAACCAGCGGAGGCAATGGCATCGGCGTACACGACGGAGGCACCACCACCAGCGACCAGAGTCCAGATACGGCCATTGGCGTTGAGCACAGTCAGCTTGAGAGAAGCACCGGTCTTGGCATCCATGTCGGAAATGAACTTCTCCTCCTTGCTCAGCTCACGACCGAAGGGAGCGGGGAACTCCATTGGCGGGCCAGCATCAATGTTGACCTTGCCGTCAGCCTGGGGAACGGTGGCCAGGCCAAGGTTGACAGGGCTGCGGGCAATAGCCCACTTGGTACCGCACTCGAACTCAGCTGTCTGGTCAAGCTTAGCGGCAAGGTCAAGGAAGTGCACCTCCGCGGAGGTACCCTCAGCGTTGGGAATGACAACCAGAGGGTTGATCTCAAGGTAGGTGAACTGGCAGTCGACATAGACGGCGTAGAGACGGGAGATGAAGTCAACCAGGACATTGTGGACGCCCTTGGGCACCTTGCTCAAGAGAGCAGCAGCAATCTCCTCGTTGGAGGGGTAGTTGTTCAGGTTCACGGGGATAAGAAGCTTCTCGGCCTTGGCATCAACATCGCCAACGTCCACACCACCCTCGTGTGTAAAGAGGATCCAGTCACCCTAGAAAGGTTCATTAGTCTTCCGGATCGTCGCCAATTTGAGAATCGGCAGAGTCGCTTACCTCTCGCACGGAGTTGATGTTGATGTAGTACTCAGTCTCCTGAGGGTGGGGAACAAAAGGCTCAACCAGGAACTGGCGAAGAACACCGGTGACAGTCTCGACCTTGATCTCCTTGCCAGCACGGGCCTCAATCCACTCTCTGGCCTCGGGCCAAGTCTTGTTCAGAGCGAGCAAACCGCTCTTACCCCGTCTCTTAATCAATTGATCTGGCTTAGCGACGAACTTGGCGCCGGGAGTCAGCAGCCAAGGGTAGACAACCTCCGTCTGGTCCAAGACATCCTTCACAGCGGCGTCTTCGGGAAAGTAGATGGAGGCAAGTCTGGGAGGAGGGTTGTGGGTGGAGGAAGGAGGGAGAGGAGTCGGCTTGATGACAGGAGCCCGGGTGAGGTGGTAGTTGAGGATGGCCTTGCCATCAGCTTCAAGAATCGACTTGGCGGACATGACGATAGAAATGGAGGATTAAAGAGGAGGACAAATAGAGAAGAAGGTCCTGACGATAGAGGAGAGGTTGTATGTAGAGAAGGGGAAGAGAGCCCGGATCAAGAGAACGATATAACAGAGAGATGGAGAGAAGGAGGGATAGGTCGGCAACCAATTCACCCTGCAAGAAGTGATTTGTTGGAATTGAAGTGGGAGAGAAGGAGGGAGAAGATGAAGGTGGATGGATGGAATGAAGAAGAGAGGAGAAAGAGGAGGGGATTCAGTGACCACGGACGATTGACCTGAGTCCTCCGAAATAAAATAATTGAACAGTCAAGCAAATGCCCGGAGGACTTTTGGGGGGAAAACAGAAGTAATTTTTTGGGGGGATGAGCTGATCCAAAATTACAGAGAGTCAGGTACGGTATTGAGGCCGAACTCGGAAATGACCAGATTTGGAGAGGGACCAGACTCAGAGATACAGAGTACGATACAGCATAGGCTTCGTAGCAGGCTTAAACGCCCCGAGTTGTTGAGATTTAGTGGGGAAGAAGCATGGTGGGTCCTGCTAATCTCTTGCACTAAAAAGGACACTAACAGCCAAAACGAAGTTCCAGGTGTCATCCCAAATTTAGCTCCCACCCTCTCCAGGCGGTTTAGAGCTTCCGTTGGGGATACTCGGTAAGGGTATTTAGTGGCAGGACACACCCTACGCTGTAGCCTCAATACTGAATTCCAGCCAAAGGAGGGATCAGACACCGGACGGCAACTCTCGGGTCATTTGTCGCTGCGTGTCGTTCTTTTGTTGGATTATGCACAGCTACCGAATATTTCAAATTTCGAGTTTGTTGATAGAGCGTCGGCGAATTGCTGTGTGAGAGCCGGAGTCACTCCCCGAGACTGTCTCGATGTCAATCATGCCATCAATCGCCTATCAGATCGTTGACAGGATCCATTCACACATGGAGTACTCCGTACATACCTTGGTATGGTACAGGTGTCAGTTATCTATTTACCATGTAGACTTACCAGCAAGGCACATGCAGACAATCCCCTCTGAAAGCTATAATCCAGATACTGAATATCACTGTACTACATACCCAGATCGGCAGTCCATGATGACAACCCTGATCTTTCGGTGAGCAGATCATTAGCGTCCGGCGGTGGGAGTCTTAGGGTGGAGGGGCTCTCCTGTTTGCTGGGTCCGAATTAGTCCAAGAGGATCCACCGCTTAGCCCCAACCAAGCTAAGGTACGGACTACGGAGTACTTTGGTCTGCTCTGCAACGTTCTTTTGCCTGTTCGATATCCAGGTACAGAATCTACCGAGTACTCCGCAGTCCGGCTCCATCTTGTTAGGCATACACGATTCTTGCTTGACTCCTGAGATGAGGGATATTACTCCGTACACGCATGACCATGACTGAAAAGGAGAAAGAGTTTCTAACAGGTTCATTCATCGGAGGAAATCGTAAAGAAATTCGCTGTTGAGATAGACAGGTGCTCCGTAGTAACTTATCAAACCAACTCCATATACGTATGTTGTCAAGCAACTCCGCACTTTACGATACACGGTATCTTCTATGTATTCATCACCTTGCGTCTTGTTGAGGGTGTCTAGAATTACTTGCCCCTCCAGAATCTGCAGATACAATTCTTGAAAATTGATCGATTATTTTGGGCTCAGTTGCTAGGTAGCAAGCAACGCAATTCCACTCCCAAGTTCCCAACTGGTCCAGCCTTCGACCCCATCAAGGAACCACCGAGAGCAGCTTTGTCGCGGTATTGTACCGATACGGTATCGTCCGGAAAAGTAAGCTCCCCCTCAGCTCCCCGATATCGTTGAACTCCCCTCGTCAGATAATTCAGTTATTTTATTTTAATCAGTTATTATTATTATTATTATTATTTTATTTTATTTTATTTAATTTTTTTTTTCTTTTTTACAACAGTCCGGTCCTTTATTTTTTGATCCCGTCTTTTTTTCATCTTCAGAATAAACCACCCCCCATAATCCCCTTGGATCCCAATCCTCCCATCTCCTGGCTCTGCTTCATCATTCTCCTCATCCCCCTCTTCCTCACCTGTGCATCTTCTCATCCTTTGTAGCTCTTGTTCTCTCCGAGTTGCATTTGACCGACGAAGCGACTCCTTCCTTCTATCTCTTCTTGTATCTACCTACTTAATAATACCTTCCGTCCTTTTGAAAGCCGATCTCAAAAAGCTCTGTTGACGGGTATGTCGCCATTCCAGGCTTCCTTGAACGAGCTCGAAAGCGTCATCTCCGTGCTTTTCTGAGCTCCCTGCATTGCACCCCGCTGCCCTATCCTGACCAGTACTGATCAATTCCTTGAGAAACAGAGTACTCAGCCATCATGCCCTCATCTGCTCCTCTCGCCGGCACCGCCAATGGCACTCTCAACGCCAATGACAACATCACTCGCTTCGAGCCTCCCAGCCGAGTGCTCTCTCCTCTTACTCACACTCTCTTCCACAACAAGACGAGATGCTTCGTATAGTAAGTGTTGCCTGGCTGCAAACAGGGTCAATGGCCGGGCTGATGGTTATCACAGCGGTATGCAGCCCAGAGCCGTGCAAGGCATGCTCGACTTCGACTTCATTTGCAAGCGTAGCACACCTTCGGTTGCTGGTATCATCTACACTTTTGGTGGCCAGTTCGTTAGCAAGATGTATGAAGATCCCCTTCATCTGCTGCAGTATTTCCATCAACAGCTGCTGACTATGGAATCGTAGGTACTGGGGTACTAGCGAGACTCTCCTTCCTGTCTACCAGGATGCGGCCAAGGCCATGGCCAAGCACCCTGACGTTGACACCGTTGTGAACTTCGCCTCCTCCCGTTCCGTCTACAGCTCCACCATGGAGTTGATGAACTACCCCCAAATCAAGTCCATCGCCATCATCGCCGAGGGTGTCCCCGAGAGAGTATGTCTTGCTTACATTTACCCGCATGGAGTAAAGAAGTTAACGATGGGAACAGCGTGCTCGTGAGATCATGGTTATTGCCAAGGAGAAGGGTATCACCATTATTGGTCCTGCTACCGTTGGTGGTATTAAGCCTGGTGCTTTCAAGATCGGTAACACCGGTGGTATGATGGACAACATTGTTGCTTCCAAGCTCTACCGCAAGGGTTCCGTCGGCTACGTTTCCAAGTCCGGTGGTATGTCCAACGAATTGAACAACATCATCTCTCAGACCACCGATGGTGTCCACGAGGGTATCGCCATTGGTGGTGACCGCTACCCCGGTACCACTTTCATCGACCACCTCCTGCGTTACCAGGCCGATCCTGATTGCAAGATCCTCCTCTTGCTCGGTGAGGTCGGTGGTGTTGAGGAGTACCGTGTCATTGAAGCTGTGAAGAACGGCACCATTACTAAGCCTCTCGTCGCCTGGGCCATCGGTACCTGCGCCAGCATGTTCAAGACTGAGGTTCAGTTCGGTCACGCTGGTGCCTCGGCTAACTCCCAGCTTGAGACCGCTGTGTACAAGAACAAGGCCATGAGGGAGGCCGGTATCCACGTTCCCGACACGTTCGAGGAGCTTCCTCAGCTCCTCAAGCAGGTGTACGAGGATCAGGTCAAGAAGGGTGTCATCAAGCCCCAGCCCGAACCTCAAGTCCCCAAGATCCCCATTGACTACTCCTGGGCCCAGGAGTTGGGTCTCATCCGTAAGCCCGCTGCCTTCATTTCCACTATCACCGACGACCGTGGCCAGGAGCTCCTGTACGCCGGAATGCCCATCTCCGACGTTTTCAGAGAGGACATTGGCATTGGTGGTGTCATGTCCCTTCTGTGGTTCCGTCGCCGTTTGCCTCGCTATGCTAGCAAGTTCTTGGAGATGGTTCTTATGCTCACTGCTGACCACGGTCCGGCCGTGTCTGGTGCTATGAACACCATTATCACTACCCGTGCCGGCAAGGATCTGATCAGCGCCCTGGTCTCTGGTCTCCTGACCATCGGATCTCGCTTTGGTGGTGCTCTTGACGGTGCTGCTGAGGAGTTTACCAAGGCCTTCGACAAGGGCATGAGTCCCCGTGACTTTGTTGACACTATGAGAAAGGAGAACAAGCTGAGTAAGTGACATTTATGAATAACGAACATCTGTCGAGCAAATGCTAACATTTGCATAGTCCCTGGTATTGGCCACAGAGTCAAGTCCCGGAACAACCCTGATCTGCGTGTCGAGTTGGTCAAGGAGTTCGCCAAGAAGCACTTCCCCAGCACCAAGCTTCTCGACTATGCCATCGCTGTCGAGACCGTCACCACCTCTAAGAAGGACAACCTCATTCTGAACGTCGATGGTTGCATTGCTGTCTGCTTCGTTGACCTGATGCGCAACTGCGGTGCTTTCTCGCCCGAGGAAGTTGAGGACTACATGAAGATGGGAGTTCTCAACGGTCTCTTTGTCCTTGGCCGCAGCATTGGTCTCATTGCTCACTACCTCGACCAGAAGAGACTGCGCACTGGTCTCTACAGACACCCTTGGGATGACATCACCTACCTGCTCCCCACTCTGCAGAAGGGTGGTGCCGAGGGTCGTGTTGAGGTTAACATTTAAGCGTTCTATTATCTCTTTTAATATTTCCTCCTTTCCCTTTTTCTCTTGTCATTGCCGAACAGACCCGTGGCAGCCCACTGGATGATTCTGCGGAATTTGCGGTTTGACTCATAAAATCCGTCACGTCGACGCTGGAGTTATGATGGCCTGTATTTTGCATTTGGTTCTGATTCTTCTCGAGTTTCACTATACTTTTTCGACATTACATTGTGTATTGCGCATATGTGGCATGACTAGCTGATAGGCTAATGAATTCAACGCAAGAATTGAGACAGAACATACGACTAGGTATACAGAAACTTTACGCCCTTGGGAATAACGACTGCTATAATGCCTTCAAACCGAGGGGTTCGTAAAGTCGCAGCCGGAACCTCTACAGATAACTCTTTGCTCGGCAATTGCATACAGATGGTTTCATCCTCTCGCGTGGAGAAGGGTATACACTGCCAAAAATTAATTCGTATAATTGTGGAATATTTCTTCAATAAATCAGACGCTGGGACTAAAATAGCAGACAATGCCCTGTTGATACTCAGTGTGCGGAATCTAAGCTTCCCCACCGGTAATTGGTCCGAGCTCCGCTATCAAAAGTTTATCAATATCGCGACTCAAGTCACAAGAATTGAGATACCGAATTCAATTCTCAAGATTCCTCGACGTTCGAGCTCAGCATAAGGCCCTCCTTCCAATTACCGCAACGAAAGAAAATACGCATACTCGAAGAACTAGAGATCCAAGGACACCAATAAAGATAAACCGACATGGTCCGCGTCAAACATCGCTACCTCCTCCTTGACATCCTCTACCCAGAACGCTCCTCCTGGCCCACCTCCTCAACCAGCAAAACGAAATTGCCCTCGCAGGCTGACGCCCAGCTCCGGATCCACTCGCCCACATCCGATGCGCTGACACCGGCCTTACTCGCGAAGATGGTGAGGGAGGAAGTCGCGGAGATTTTCGGAGACTGGGGCGTCGGCCGGCTGGGTGGTGTTGGGGCTGGGGGTGTTAGTGGTGCGTTTCATTTCGTGTTGTTTCTTGATTTGTGTTCGGGCTCTGACATGAGTGAATAGTCAAGTATTTGTCGCCTGCCACTTCGACAGCTATCATCCGGTGTCCGCGCGCGTCGTTCCGTCTCGTCTGGACGGCTCTTACGTATATGGCGCAAGTACCGGATTTTAATAATGGTGGGATGAAAAGGGGTGCTCCTGCGGCTGCGGGGAAGATGCGATCGTGTGTGTTTCGGGTTGTGAAGGTGTCTGGGACGATGAAGAAGGTGGAGGAGGAGGCGATTCGGCGGGCGCGCAGGGAGATCTCGCGGTTGAAGGGGGCGGATGAGATGGGGGTTTTGGAAGGGCTGGTTGGGGGGTTGGAGGGCCGGGAGGCTGCGGCTGGTAGCGGATTGGCCGCTGCCTCTGTGCTAGATGTGATGGATGAGGATGACCTGGATATGGAGAGTGATGATGAGGAGGAGGATTGACCGGCTTCCATCGAATGGGCGATGTGTGTCCTCTCGTTGCATCATCAGGAGTTTGTGTTAGATTGTTTGTTCATTAGAGATACCCTATAATACATGTACAGATAGACCATGAAGGACTCAAATCATGACTTTCGCATCACTTTTACGCCGCTGTCGGGGATTGAGCCTCTGAAGTTGGCCAAATCGGCATCGAATTCATCGTCCCCTCTCGGCGGCGGCTGTGCAGCCTGTTCCCTGGCTTTCGCCTCGGCCTCGAGCTCACTGCGCTCTTGCGCGTCGTATTCGTCCTTCGCGTCGAGCCATCGTTCCTGAACATCTCGGATATCCATGGTCCCTAGTCCTTCCCGGACAGCCACCTGCCAGATGGTATCGTTTGCGCCCTCGGCGGGCCCGAATGCATACCCACTTGCCCTATCAATAACTCGCAACAAATTCATCATGCTCTTCTTGTCTTCCACGGCCAGTGTCTCAAATGCCACGAGCCCGAATTCTTCCACCAGGCCGATGATGGCATTGTTGAGGGCGCCAAATTTTGCATGTGATAATCGTGATGACTCGGCCTCTAGGTGTGGAAGGAGGTATGAAAGGTCTTGGACTTCCGTGTAGAAATCGAGGTTGAAAGGTAGCGGGGCGTAGTTCGAAAGGTTATCGATTTTAGTGAGGACGTTGATGTGAGGGAGATCCATCTGGAGCATGGCGCGGAGAGAGAGAAGGAGAGCGGATATATACATCGATGGTAACGTGAGGTTGTATGAGTCAATGAGATGTATTACGATTAGCTGTAGTATTCATGTCAGCAGGAAAGCCTGTGCTAAGATGAAGATGAACTGACTCTATAGCCCAATTTTTGTATTTTGAAGAAAATATTCCGCAACGACGAATGGTGCGTAAAGATTTCAACCTGGCCCGGAAAATCAAACAAAACATAATCCTCTATTCAGAAGAGTATCAACTATCGTGCTCTAGGTCGTATAGCAGTAAACTCAAGGATAGGTCAGGGCCTACCTCCGAGGTCCTTCAGCCCCTCCTCCAACCATTCAAAGTTCTCCTCCAGTTCCTCCAGTGCGTACAAGACACCACCATTAGGACCTAGTTGATCCTCACTCATGATCTCCTCGAGAGTGACGAGGTCGCGAACGTCCAGCGCACACGGATACGACGTCTTGTCATTTGCGGGGTCCAGATTCACGATAGAGCACTTCCGGCCGATAGCTCCCAAGAACTGATGCATACCGTTGCAATATGTTGACTTCCCCGCACCCGGGGGCCCTATTACCAGCTGCGCGAAAGGCATTTTGAGCTGCGAGAGGGAGAGATATGCGGCAAGCAAGGAATATAGTATTCTCCAATTCTCGATGGCTTAAGATGCGGCGATGGCGGGGAGGGAAATATGTCAAGGCGGTATAAGCGGGCAGAAAACGACCTAAAGCGCAAAGCTTCGATGACGCCGGGCGATCGACGATATTGATATAGCTTAGGACTGAACCGGTTCACTTTCTCGGAAGAATTCAAGCACAATATGGCATCGAGTAAGCTCATTAGAAACCTCTGTATGTGCTAGTACTGACCGCAATTTAGATCAATTCGTCGTCGCAAATCCGCCTACAGACGCCATCTCCGCTTTGAAGTTCTCGCCGGATCCAAATTCAACGCGAATTGTCGTTTCATCATGGGACAAGAACGTCTACCTTTATGACCTGAGGGACGAGAATGGAAATGTTGGTGAAGGGAAGCTGTTACAAAAGTTTGAACATCGTGCGCCGGTGCTCGACGCGTGTTTTGGCGAGAATGAGGATGTGATCTACACAGCGGGTTTGGATTGGGACGTCCGAAAGTACGTTTTCCCATCGCCGCTTGGTGCTTTCTTTCGACTGGCGCTCCTGAGTTCCTTTATCTGATATATTGGCAGGATCAATGTCACATCATCTACACAGACCGTGCTTAGCAGCCATGACGCTGGGGTCCGGTGTGTCGCCTACAGCAAGGAGCATAACATTGTCATATCTGCGTCGTGGGACTCGACGTTACATGTGCACCGCGTGAATACTGAAGCCGACTCTATCCCCGCAATCATTCCTCTCCCTTCAAAGCCTTTCTCCATGTCTCTCACCGCCACGAAACTCGTTGTTGCCATGGCCTCGCGCTCCCTCCACATTTACGACCTGAAAGCATTGGCACTCCTTACAGACCAGTCGGACGCCACATCTCCGAACAAGGTTGAGATCGAGCCATGGCAGCGACGAGAGAGCAGTCTTAAATTCATGACCCGCTGTGTCGCGTGCATGCCCGATGACGCCGGCTACGCATCCTCCAGCATTGAGGGACGAGTCGCAGTCGAGTGGTTCGATCCGTCTGCTGAGTCGCAAGCACGGAAATATGCTTTCAAATGTCATCGACAAACGGCTGATGATGTTGACGTGGTATATCCCGTGAACACACTTGCGTTCCACCCCATCCATGGAACATTCGCGTCCGGCGGTGGTGATGGTGTCGTTGCACTCTGGGACGGTATTGCGAAGAGGCGGATCAGGCAGTATCAGAAATACCCGTCGAGCATTGCCTCTGTCGATTTCAGCGGCAATGGAAAGTACTTGGCGATTGCTGTTAGCCCTAGTTTCGAAGACGGAAAGGACGATGTCGCAGAGGGAACTGTCCGAATCTATGTGCGCGAATTGGGCGAGACTGAGGCGAAAGGAAAGGGTGCGAAATAAACATTTATACTGATAACTAGAATGCCTTTACTTTATGACTAGCGTGTGGAATTAAACTTGGGTAATAATTACAGTAAAACAAAGCTGTCCATTCTGGATCTTCAGCCGCGGTGAAATTCGACGGCAAGAAGTCATGCAGGAAGTTTTATGGTATCATATATATCTAAGTCGCCTTTTTTGCTGTAGTCCACCGTGCGGAGCATATCAGTATGTGAAGAAGGCTAAGAAATGGCCTTCCTAACTGATACTGTGCCGTCGGGCATGCCAAAGTAAGCAGCGATGGGCTTCTGGCCACCAATACCTCCAAGCGCTTGAGCCTGAGGTCCGGTCACGCCGGAGAAGATGCCAACCTCCAGTACGCCCGCAATCATCTTAATCGCCTGCGCCAGGGCATCAACCTCCCAGATTCCTCCCTTTCCGTTCCCATCGTTGCCAGCGGCAACGTCAGCCTTGGTGAGCAATGGTGGGAAAGGAGCGTCAATGATGTAGAAGTCCTGATCCGTCTTCAGGGGTCCCTTGGAGGTGCCGCTGAGCCGGATGGCGGGCTGAATGCTGCCCAACTCTCGCAGCTTGGTTAGGACACGAGGGGCGGCAATAGGTGCCACCTCAATGGGAATGTATTTCCAATTCGTGAGGAGACGAGACTGGAGTTTGCGCGAGTCTGGACGTAAGTATTAGCCATGTTTTGTCCTTCATTCCGGTTTCCGCCGCATGACGGCGTGAGTCATCGCTAACCTGCCACGCAGATGAACTCCTTGGCTTGCAGAGCCACAATTTTCTCCTGGAAGAGACAGGCGCCGCCGCCCTTTATTAAGTTGAGCTCATCGTCGACCTCGTCCGCGCCGTCAAAGGCGACATCAAGTACGGTTCCTTCGGGTAGCGAATCAAACTCAACTGCTGTCAAGCCGGCGGAAAGGATGAGCTGTTTTGATTGGAAGCCGGTGGGAACGTATCTTGTCATAGAGGTATCAATGCCAGATTCTTTGATAGCCTCGACAACATATACAATAGTAGATCCGCTGCCGATACCGACAAATTTGGCATCTTTGGGGTAGTGGTTGGCGACAGCAGCCTTGCCGGCGGCGCGCTTTGCGGCCTCGATTACACTAGCCATTGTGGACTGAAAACGAGTCGGAGGGTGATGAATGGGGGAAAGGGTAGGATAGATGAGATGGGATCGAGGGTACGAGATAAATGAGGAGAAACGGAACAAGGGCCGTGTCCTACAGAGCATAGATAGACAAATTAGATCCAGAGTTGACAGGCATGCATCCGTTGAGGAAGGTTTTCTAGGGCCCGCAGCTGGAGCCAAAAGGGCCCGATACAATCGCCAGAGAACAACCCCGGTGTGGGGGAGTCCAGTATCAGAACCAAAGAACTTTTCCGTGGAGCCACACAGCCACAACGAATGAACTTACAGAGGGAAAGAGTGCACTTGAGGAAGAATCACCGACATGACATGTCAAATGAAATGGTTCAATGGCAGATACCGTATTGCAATTGAGCGAACCACAGAATAGAGTCAGGTACACCGTACATCAATCTTTTTGACGGCGGGATTATGGCGTCATACCGTATGTTCCATAGTGCCTTAGGCTTCTCAGGCCACCACATCACATGGGCCGTCTCGCTCCAGGTCATGTGATCACATCGCAGCTACGCCTGACAATCATCAACACAAGCAGATGCATTGCTATAATCTTCGGTGAATAGGGTCTGTCAATCTTGCCCTTGTATTGGCTGTCACTTTTTTCCTTTGGATTTGGAGTATACCTGATTACTCAGACCGACCTAAAGAACTATATCAACCACGCATTATGACTGATACTTTCCCTGCTGCCCTGGTAGGGCCATCTTCGAAAGAGAGGAAGTATGATCGCCAGCTACGTTTGTGGGCTGCGAGCGGGCAGCAAGCACTGGAAGAGTCTCGTGTTTTATTAGTCAACTCTGATGGTTCCTGGGGGAATCAAGGCACTGGAGTATCGGGCGTGGCTGGCGTCGAAACCCTCAAGAACCTTGTGCTCCCCGGTATTGGTGGCTTCACGATTGTAGATCCTGCTGTTGTCACAGAGCCTGATCTGGGAGTGAACTTCTTTCTCGAGGCAGAGAGTTTGGGAAAATCCAGGGCTGAGGAAACCTGCCGCCTGTTGAGAGAGTTGAACCCAGACGTCGAAGGAAGTTTTCGTTCAAAGGTATATGACTGCCACTTCTAGCTTGGCTTTGTGGATAGGCAACGCTAACATAAACTACTAGTCCATCGCAGAAGTCTTGCAACAGGAGCCAGACTTTCTTGCGCAGCATAGGCTGGTGTTGATATCCGGTCCTGTGAAACGATCTACTTTAGATACTCTTTGCAACGCTGCCAAGGCACTGAATATCCCAGTGCTATATCTGCACTCTGTCGGGTTCTACTCTGTCTTTTCCCTTCAGCTTCCAGCAGAATTCCCCATAGTAGAGACACATCCGGATCCTGAAGCGACTCAAGACCTTCGTCTTCTTAACCCATGGCCAGAATTGGCAGCGGCTGGCGCCAGCATTAGCAACCTGGACAGTATGGACGACCACCAACATGGCCACGTACCGTATGTACTGTTACTGCTTCACTACCTGGAAAAGTGGAAACAAGCCCATGACGGCAACGTGCCTTCCAATTACAAGGAGAAATCAGAGTTCAGGGAGTTTGTCCGGGCTAGTGCCAGGACGAATAATGCCGAAGGAGGTGAAGAGAACTATGACGAGGCGGTTGCTGCGGTACTGAAATCATTGAATCCATTCAGTTTGCGCAGCTCAATCCGTGAGATTTTCGAGATGGACCAGTGCAGGAACCTCAAACAGGACTCAGCTGAATTCTGGCTCATTGCGGCAGCTGTTCACGAATTTTACCAAAAGCACAAGGTGCTCCCTCTGCCTGGCTCGCTACCCGACATGAAAGCTCAATCGGCTGACTATGTCTCTCTTCAAAACATCTACAAATCCAAAGCAAGAAAGGACGTGGAAGAAATAACAGCAACAGTCAGAAGGCTCGAAGCTCAATTGGGACCACGGCGGGCCGTCATTCCCGAGAAAGATATCGAGGTCTTCTGCAAGAACGCTGCTCACATCAAAGTTATTCATGGCCGTGATATCCCTCGCATCAACGGCGACGCGCAGACTCTGAAAGCGATCATGGATAACCTCAGCTCTTCCGAAGCGCTTGTTCCGATCTTCATCGCCTGTCACATTCTGGATGACATCGTGACCGACATTCAGGAATACAATATCGCTGATGTATCTCTTGATGACAAGTCCCTGTGGAATACCCATATTCAACAAGTCATCAGTAAGCTTGCCTCCGATCCTGCTGTTATTGACGAACGAGCACGGGAGAAGATCTTGGAAGCTACACAAGAGTTGAGACGCACGGAAGGTGGAGAGCTACATAACATATCCGCTCTTACAGGTGGGCTAGTGGCGCAGGAAGCACTGAAGGTGATCACAAGGCAGTATGTGCCACTGGACAACACATGCATTTTCGATGGCGTACGGAGTCGCAGCGAGATGTACAAGTTGTGATAGAGCTCCGAAGTCTTTCTCTTATGGCCTTCTGTCATGACGGACAACAATTTGATACGAATGAATGAGTATCCTCAACACAATTCAACCTTCCTCTACCCTTATCTAATATTGTTAGCCAGACTGATGAGTACTTCGTCCGGACGCCTTTTTTTGGCGTATTGGTATTATAGTGCTGTAAATATCACCGTAGGCGCTATTTCAAGCAAGAATGACTAGCACAGCTCTGAGCCTGATTGTTTGGAATAACTATCAGCGCCCATTCTTCGATCAAAACATAAGTAGTCTAACCATCCAAATCATATCGACAGTCGATTTGCTCTCAAAAAGTCCCAAGGCACAACAACTGGCCGAGGCACGTGCGGGAGCCAGTTGGTACTACTACATCCGGTTAGTGTCCTGGCCGGGACTTCGGGGGGAAATCGCAACGATAAGCCCAAATAACCCCGAGAGATCACGATATCTCCATGTCAACTGGGACGAGGCCATCGTCCTCACTACCTGTCCATCGAACCACCTTACATCAGCCACGCCGCTGGTACAATGTATCTCAAGATTGTCTCCTTTTGACTGACTCTTAGATGAGCAGAGCCCTTTGTTATGGTTTGTTGAAGATAACCCTTTTGTCTCTTTGTATTGCGAACGGATGATCTCATCTTCTACAAGTGGCCAGTGGTGGGAGGCTTCTTCTGGTTTACGACGCCTCCTCATTTGGTCAGGATCTGCCTTTTGACAGAAGTCAAACAAACAATATGTCGTTCGTTCAAGATACCGCGACCATCCTTGAGACTCCAGCCGCCACAACTTCGTCATCCGCCATGCAATCTGTCAACTCTACGGCAATTACCACCGCCCAATATTCGCTGCTCTCGTCGCCTCGCGAGCTCCTCACTCTCCCATTGCGTGGTTTGCGTCAGGCGGAGAGCCTTGCGTTTTCGACTATTCCGCGACAACTCTCGAGGTTAGTGGGGCTACCGGGTATGGCGACACGGATCTCAGGTCATGCCCCTGGAACAGGATCGGAGGCCGATGCGGTGGTAGCAGCAACACAGGCGGTGGCTGGAGCAGCAGGAGAGAGGATGGTTGACGCTGCCGCACAAACGGAAACAGGTGTTTACTTGGCAGAGTTTCTCCAAGCAATGAGGAGATTTAGCGGGTTCTTTTCATATCTGACCAGTCGGTGGTCCTTGGCTTGTTTTACAGTGGTAAGAAATAAGCACATGGGGACAGACTTGAAAATCCTGACACACTTTAAAGGGTATAATTTTGAATCGTATCACGATCTATGCTTCGACCAGACGACATCTCACTCTAGACTTTCACCGACGCATGGCGCTGCGAATCATTCCCATTGTGCTGTTCATCTCTCAGATCCTCGTCTTACTTCGTGCTATACGGTGTCAAACATCTCCCGATTACCCCCTCATCCGTTACGGTACCTCCGGGAAACGGTTGTCGCTTGATCATGCTGGTGGGGGCGGGTTCCTCTATTCTCTCAGTTCCACGCTTTTATCATGGGAGTCCGATCAACAATCTTGCAGCGCGGTGAAGATGGGTCGGCCCGTCAACTCATCGGATGTTCCTTACGGCTCATTCGTTTTCTTGTGGCCTGTTTTTTTGCGGCTCTGTCTCAGCCACTTTGTTGAGACCCTCTCTTGCGCTTTGCAGGGAAGAGCAGTCGTGACCGAGGCTGGCATGTCTATTTTTGAGCACTCTCTTGCCTTCGCCGAGGCAGAGTCGATGATAAGCCAGTCCATTGGCTTTGGGTTATTTGGCCTTCCCAAGCACGCCAGCAGCAGGGACAGCTCGTCATCGTCCAGTGAGTCCGCACACTCGGCTCTTCAGCTGCTTAGCAGAGCGCAGGTCTTGGAACGAATGAACGTTACTCCTGAGTTGCTCTTAATTGCTTTGATCTCTTGTTGCAACAGCTTGACGTCCAACATTTTGGATGTGCTCGGTCAACAAAGCCGGTATCGCCTATTCAATACCGCTTTCTGGGGTCTGTGCTTTATGTCTGCTATGGTATGGGGTCTATTGACTGGCTCAACGACGGGAAGCGACACTGGCGTACTGAAGTTTCCCACAGTCTGCATTGTGGACTTTGTGCCTCATCTATTAGTATTACTAGGCATTGTCATTTGTGCGATTATTTATGTTGTCGCTCTCCTGATTACGGCTTTCTCGTTACCAATGGACGCTGGGCAGCCGCTTTCACTTCGCGAACGATTTTCACTCGCCCACGAAAACATGCAAGGAGCGAACCAGATTCGGAATATCCGCTTCAACCGGCACGAGGATTTCTACACCACGTTACTCCGGATTGGGTACACTGCTTTAACCGCTGCTAGTGAAGCAGTTTTCTTGAATGAAGGGAAAGCGGTCGTTGCACGTCCGATGACATGGTTGGAGGAGGATAGACTGGCGGAGATTGAAAAGTCTCAACGTTCACGCTCTTTCCAGCGCAGTTCAAGGTCCTACGACCGGGACGTGCCATTTACAGGTGTCGAACCGATCACCTTTGATATTCCGGAACCATCGGCAGAATGGGAAAGTGGGTACGGG